ATAAGTTGAAGTTATTTTTTTTATTTTTTTTTTTAAAGAAATTAACACTTTTATTCAGCAAGGATGTATTAAATTGACATTTATGATGTTACAAAAGATTTGTATTTCAAATAAATGCCATTTCTGTTCATCAAAGAATCCTGAAATGCATCACGGTTTTCACTAAAATATTAAGCAGCACAACTGTGAATTTCAATATTGTGTCTTAAGCAGCAAATCAGCATATTAAAATGATTTCTGAAAGATCATGTGTCACTGAAGACAAGTAATGATGCTGAAAGTTAAGCTTTGTTGTCACAGGAATAAATTACATTTTAAAATATATTCATATAGAAAAATTTCAATTATAATAATATTTCACAATATTACTATTTTTACTGTATAGCTAATAAAATAAATGCAGCATTGGTGAACATAAGAGACTTCTTTCAAAAACATAAAATTATTTTCAATAGGAAATTCATGAAGACAGGAAAGAAAACGCTTCAGTTACTCACGTAACCTCGGTTCCCTGAGATAAGGGCGTCGTCGTTTGATGACTGCTTGGGGAAACTCCTGTTTACTCTATTACTGAAGCCTGATTGGTTAATGTTTGTGTAGCTACACAAACCAATGGTGTTCGAGCCTGCCAGAAGGGGAGGAGCCGACCACTATATAAGTCGGCTCGGAGCGGCATCTCATCAGAATCATACGACTGAAGCGACAGCCATCGATTTGCGTGCAGCTATAGCACAGCCAGTTACGCAACGCTCGTTCCCTTATCTCAGGGAACTGAGGTTATGGGAGTAACCGGAGCATTCCCTATCGAAAGGTAACTCCCGTTGCGTCGTTGTTTGACGACTGCTTGGGGAACGTATCCAGTAGCACCGTGCTATAAGCAGATGCAGAACTTAGCCTGCTCTGCGAGCTCAGCCCAGGAAAACTCAGTGAGGGCTCCATAAGCCTGAGCCTCAAAGAGACCCAAGAACGTTCTGAGGTCTACTTGAGATAACTCTCCCCACCTGAGGGGGGAGTAAGCATTAGGCTGATAAGACCCGCGCCTGCAGGGACGTTTAAATTGTAGAATCTAATAAATGTAGATGGCGACGACCAGCCGGCGGCCGCACAAATCTCCCCAATAGAGATTCCACTGGACCAGGCCCAAGAGGAGGCCATTCCTCTGGTGGAATGGGCCCTCACATCTAAAGGGCATTGCAAGCCAGCTGAGCAATAAGCCAGAGCTATAACATCTACTATCCAATGAGATAGTCTTTGCTTTGTGACAGGCAGCCCTTTAGAGCGACCTCCAAAGCACACAAAAAGCTGCTCTGATTGTCTGAAAGACTCTGAGTGCTTAATGTAAACTTGCAGTGTTGGGACCTTGTTCACCATCCATTCCAGGGAGGGCTAAAAGGGAAATGATCTGGGCTCTAAATGGAGTTGAGAGCACCTTTGGTACATAACCGCTGCGCGGTTGAAGAACGACTTTAAAGTCGCTGGGTCAGAACTCAAAAGAGGAAGCACTGACAGACAGGGCTTGCAAGTCTCCTACTCGCTTGACTGATGCCAGGGCCAAAACTAGAGTGGTTTTGAGTGTCATGACCCTTAAGCCGGCTGTTTGAAGCGTCTCAAAGGGGGAGCTCTTGAGAGCTCTCAGGACTATAGACAAGTCCCATACTGACACCGTTCTAGGGCGAGGAGGGTTTAACCACCGAGCGCCTCTAAGAAACTTAATGACCAAGTCGTTCCTGCCAATTGTCCGGCCAGCCTCGAGAGAATTATTCACCGCGATGGCTGCCACATAGGCTTTGAGTGTGGAAGGGATGTGCCCCTTATCCAGCAGCTCCTGCAAAAAGGTTAGCACATGGGACACGTCACATGATACCAGATCCTGGTTCCGTGCTGAACACCAGTCACTGAAGACTGACCACTTGAGGGTATAGAGGCGTCTTGTAGACGGAGTTCTAGCCTCTAAAATGGTATTAGTGACTCTATTATCTAAAAATCTCTATTATCTAAAATGGTATTAGTGATCAGTTGGCTAGACTCCCGTCGAGTGGCCATACATGAAGACTCCACAGTTCCAGCTGGGGATGCCAAATCTTGCCCAGCGCCTGCGAGAGAAGGTCTCTCCTCAGTGGTATTGACCACGGTGCTGCAGATAGCAGCTGGATCATCTCCAGAAACCAGACTTGGTTCCTCCAGAGAGGGGCCACGAGGAGGAGAGAGCACTTTGTGTCCCTGACTCGCCTGATAACCTGGGGTAGCAGGGTGATCGGAGGGAAGGCATACAGGCAGGTGTTTGGCCAATCGTGGGCCAGAGCATCCTGCTGTCTTGAAAAATAGGTTGGGCAGAGTAATAGTTGTCTTCGGAGGGGAAGAGGTCGACCTCTGCCCTGCCGAAAACTGACCAGATCATAACCTGGGGTAGCAGGGCAATCGGAGGGAAGGCATACAGATGGGTGTTGGGCCAATCGTGGGCCAGAGCATCCTGCTGTCTTGAAAAATAGGTTGGGCAGAGTAATAGTTGTCTTCGGAGGGGAAGAGGTCGACCTCTGCCCTGCCGAAAACGGACCAGATCATCTGAACTGTCTGGGGATGTAGCCTCCATTCCCCTGGAGCTACATTGTCCCTTGACAACATATCTGCTCCCTGGTTCAGTCTGCCCGGCACATGAACCGCTTATAGTGAGAGGAGTTCTCTCTGTGCCCAAAGCAGGAGACGTTGAGTCATCCTGTGAAGGGGATGTGACCTGAGGCCGCCTTGGCTGTTGATATAGGCTACCATAGTCGTGTTGTCCGAGTGGACCAGGACATGGTGCCCCTTTAAGGCTGGCAGGAAGGTTTCCAGGGCCAGCAAACAGCCATCATTTTGAGGCAGTTGAGATGTAGGCGTCGCTCGTGGGTCGACCAGGAGACGTACACCGGATTGCCCTCGTACAGAACACCCCAGCCCGAGCTGAAGGTGCCCGTCGTGACCACCTTCCTTCTGGAGGTCGTTCTCAACTGCACGCCTGACAGAAACAGGCAAGGAGTTGTCCAAGGGGCCACTGCTTTGACACAGCGATGGGTTACCCTGACAAAAACGCGGCCTAGGCACGGGACGGGACGCAGGCTTTTAGCCAATATTGAAGGGGCCGGATGTGTAGCAGGCCCAAGGGAGTAGCTGAGGAGGTGGCTGCCATAAGGCCGAGCATCCTCTGAAATGTCCTAAGGGGACATGAGGTCCCTGGCGTGAACGACGCCGCCACTCGCTGGATATTCAAGGAGTGTTCCGGTGTAATCCAAGCTCGAATTTTACAGAGTCTATACTGTTCCCAGAAAATGACTCGCTGTCTGGGAGTCAGAAAATTTTTGGCTGAATTGATTTTCAGCCCAAGACGCTCTAGGTGGTTGAGCAACAACGACCTGTGAGCGAAAAGTTCCCGTTCTGATTCGGCCAGTCGTCAAGGTAGTTCAAAAAGCGGATTCCCATCAGTCTCAGAGGGGAAAGAGTAGCGTCTACGCACTTCGTAAAAGTGCAAGGGGCCAGGGACAGTCCAAACAGAGGGACCGTATACTGATAGGCCACTTCCTCGAAGCGAATCTCAAGAACAGTCTGTGACGGGGTGCTATTTGAATGTGTAAGCTTGGAAGTAAGCATCTTTCAGATCCACAGACAGAAATCAGTCCCCGGGCATATTTGCGCGAGGATCTGTTTAAAGTTTACATGTCAGCGATGTGAAATCACTGAAATCACAGCCTTTACTCCGATCCGCCTAGAAGGATTGAGCCGCTCGATGTAAGCGAGGGGCGCTGATCCTCACGTGTAAAACACACTGGCAGATCAAAGTGCTGCGGTGAGAGTGAAACATGCGGGACCTGTGTCGGTGTAAAATCACTCAAGCCTGATCGCTCAAACTCGCGAGTTCGCCGTTTCTTTCTCCGAGGTAACTGGGAGAGGAGAAACGCGAGAGCATGGGAGGCGGGGCCATCTTCATTGAAGAAGGGGATCCGCGAGCGATGCAGGGACAAACTCGCACTTTTGTCTGTGAAAGCAGCCTGTCTCAGTGAGTGCAGCCTCAGCGACGTACACACAAATGCGAAGCTGTCAGCGATCTGAATCACTGGTGACAGCATTCTACTCTGATCCGCCTAGAGGGATTGAGCCGCTCAATGTAAGAGGGGCGCTAACCTCATGTGTAAAACACACACCGGCAGATCAAAGTGCTGGGGGAGAATGAACACGCGGGCTCTTGCCGGCGTGAGATCATTCAAACCCAGTTGCTCAGCTCTGTGACTGCACTGTTTCTTTCTCCGAGCTCGCTGAGAGAGGAGAAACAGGAGAGTGGGGCTGCCTTCATTTCAGAAGGAGATTCGCAAACGGAGAAGAGCGAGACTCATGCTCTCTGTGAGGATTCCCTGCATGAGCCACACTCGTGGTGCGACATTTGCAACAACATCGCAGAGGAATTGCTTCTGGCGGGCTCGAGCGTCATTGGTTTGTGCAGCTAAACAAACGTTAATCAATCAGGCTTCAGTAATAGAGTAAACAGGAGTTTCCCCAAGCAGTCGTCAAACAATGACATAACGGGAGTTACCTTTCGATAGGGAACTGCTCTCATTAAGAAGTTTCATTGCATCTAAAGTTTCTGTATAATGAACTAACCTAAAATGTCCCTGACTTGAACCTTCTTACCCCAAAGATCTTTTCTCTGAAGTTTAGGTTTGCAGTTCAAAAGCTCCGATCCAGGATTTGCAATGGCATGTACGTTAGATGCCAACTCTGAACTGTAAAAGTACACTTAGTGATCAAATGGTCTAAAAACCTCATGAAAAGTAGCTCTGGAGCAAAGGCTAGGATTTGGCATCCATTCTCAAATTGAATTAGGTGTTCATATTAGGATCCAAGTACTTATTTTCTACTAGACGGGGTCTCATAAAACTACAATTCTTTTTTCTTTTGTATTCCTTCCCTCAGGCAGAGGCATTTGATCCTTGTTGTGCCTCTCTTGATTCATTCATGTCTTTTTGGTTACACAAAATACCTACAGAGGTTATCCCAGAGGTAGAGTTTGATGGGAATTCAAATTTTCCGGTCTCGGTCAGGAGGGGGTGGTAATCCTTCCTAATGACTTAAACAGACACAGAGTTCAACTTCTGTGAAAACAAAGGCTGAACATTTTAATGGGAGTTGCTGAATACATATATTTTGCCTCATCCTGAACTTTTGATTTCCTATCGGATTTCTCCATCTTATGAGTAACAATGTAGAATTATATCATCAGCCCTATTTCTACCGTTACATCATACAGAGAGCCTTTTGCATCAGTTCAGAAGATGACTCAGAAAGAATCCAAAGAGCATGTTATAAGCAAACAAGACATTTAAAGGGATAGTTCAATCAAAAATGAACATTCTGTCATTATTTACTTATACCTCAATTACCCGTATGAATTTCTTTCTTCTGTTGAACACAAAAGAATGTATTTTGAGGAATGTTGGTAACCAAACAGTTGGCGGTAGCCATTGACATCCATGATATTATTTTGTTTAACAGAAGAAAGAAACTCAAACATGTTTGGAACATCTTAAAGGTGAGTAAATTATGACAGATTTTTTTTTTTTTTTGAGTGAACTATCCCCATTAAGAGTAAAACGAATTCAAACATATATTCAAACTTGTATTTTGCATTTTTATAAAAAAGTTGAATTGAAACATTTACTATGTTCCAAAGAGCATCTCAACCCTTCTTTGTTTTCAATATTTCAAATCCTTAATGTTCTGTTTACTACCAGGTTTAAACTGAATCCCAGCTCTTCAATGTGACTCTTGAGCCCCGCTGTACACTGAGGTAATATTGGGCTGCTAGCTTTACAGAGTCCATATTTTTGTGTCATGCCAAAAGAATGTGATTAATTGTGTGTCTCCTGGCGAGGCTGTTAGACAGGAGAGAGTTAAGGGCACTCAGGTCTAATGCACTCTGACTGTACTGTCAACTCTATGCTAACACGCTATCTGGAGGCAACCAGAGCAGGACTCCAAATGTCAAGCACTGTTAAAGTAACTCCACATCTAGTGCTGCAGCCATGCTCTGAATCCTAATCTCTTTGTTTATTTGATTGCTTTTATATATACATTTTGGAACAAGTAAATTATGCTCATCTATCTCTTATATATGTTCACAGATTTAAACATGAGTGTGAATGTTTGTGTATATCATATGTAAGTTTCAATTTAATGTAAACATACACATTTTAATAATACATTCAATTCTTTTATTCAGTGGTCTCAAAGGCAATATTATTTTTTCTTGCGTATTTCTAAAAGTGAGAGTTTTTAAAGATGTTCAGCTAATGTAATATCAATAAGAAAAGCATCACCAAGACATTTCATGTGAAAGCAGACATAGCCAGCCGGAAAAGTAGGAAATAGGGCATATAAATGCTTGGGTGTGCATTGTTCAGGCAGCCTGTCATGAGACCAGAATAGCTTCATCTCCAAGCACTTTGTAGGCAGCATTTTCCCCCCACAAGATGCACATTTTTATTTTGTAATTATTAATAATAATAATGTAAAACACAATAAGCTCCCATTGGTTAGCGTTAGTTATTGCATTATCTAACTTCAACTAACAATAAACAATACATTTGTTACAGCATATATTAATCTTAGTTAGTTAATAGAAATACAACTGTTCATTCCATGTTCCGTTTTTTTGAGATTTATACATCATCTGAAAGCTGAATAAATAACAATAAATTGTTAGGATAGGAAAATATTTGGCCGATATATAACCACTTGAAAATCTGGAATCTAAAATCAAAATATTGAGAAAATCCCCCTTAAATTTGTCAAAATGAAGTTCTTAGCAATGCATATTACTAATCAAAAATTAAGTTTTGATATTTTTTCCATAGGAAATTTACAAAATATCTTCATGGAACATGATCTTTACTTAATATCCTAATGATTTTTGGCATAAAAGAAAAATCGATAATTTTGACCCATACAATGTATTGTTGGCTATTGCTACAAATATACCCCAGTGACTTATGACTGGTTTTGTTGTCCAGGGTCACATATAATCTAGCATATATTATGGATACAGAGTTCTATATCACACACAAAACATTTTTAAATGCTGACACATTCCAAAGTTTTATTAGTCTGTATGGAGAGTGTCCCATTTCTTAGTACAGTAAAACAACTGTGAGGATTTATGTATTAATTGAACTGAAAATATGTCCTTGTGGCTGCTAACTTCTACTTTATTAATAGGGATCCTCTCCACCCTAATAAATCTTACTTTTCTTTAGCATCACAGAAGGCAAACTACAGGTAGGTCAACCTCAAACGCATTTTCTGTATGTAGTTAAGCTTAAGATGTAAGATTAAAATGTTACACTATTAAATTGATGAAATATATTGGCATCAAAATCTTTTTTGTCTGTGTGATGCACAGAAGAATAAAAATATTCAATGTTATAACCCACACACTTGAACTGAACACTGATGAAAGCCCTTCTAATTGTGGATGCACTGTATTAATGTATTTAATACAATTTCATATTGTGATTTTTCCAGTGCTGACCCATCAGAGGTTCTGTGTCAAATGCAGGCACACCCCATCAGCCCTGGTTAGTTGACTCTGGGCAACAGGGCAATAAAGGCCAGCACATGGGGCCTGAATGACTGATGCTGAATTGTACTGCTTCAGCAGACCCTTACACCCGTTGTTTCAGCAGGAACACAACAGGGGGATGGGATGTATAGTTAAGGATGTGTTTTATGCTTATATCCATTGGAAAGTTCATTTTGAATCGCAAAGCTGGTAAGTCATAATGGTTCAGTGTTTTTATTGGTTTAGACCCTAAAGGCATTTTTACATGGTTTAGTTAAATGCATTGATTTTTTTTCACTTTGTGTGCATCTTCAATATGGTTTTTGCTGTAGATTTAATCTTTAGCCCGGCAAAGATTTCCTCATTATTTTTTCCCGGAGATGCTCCAGCGTTACGTAAAGCTTTTGAACAATCATGCTAATCAAATCATCTCCATGAGGGAGTTTGGACTTCAGTAGCTCTGCAATCTGCTACATAATGTGCCTTCAGAATCTGTAGATCTCATCTGGCAGAGCACGGCTCTGTCTCTCTGCTTTTATTCGCTCACGTGGTCTCATGTGCTGTTGGTGAACTATTAACATGCCCATTAAATACTTAATTACCTTCCCTGGGAAAAGAGGTTTTCTCAATCATGACGGCCCCATTAAGTTTAACTGGTTAGTGGCAGTGTTTTTCAACCTGTTGAGAATTGAAAATAAAAGACAGGCATGACAACAATGTATACAGAGCTCATTGTTTTCCATTGTTTGTTTATAACTGGTTATCTCTACTCGAATAGCTTTATTACCCGCTATTAACTAGTCAGGTTATCAATAGACATTTCACTTGAGATATGACAACACTCGGCTACTCTTTGATCATGCGCTCTCATGCAATATTGCAACTGCACTTTGTTGTGCAAATTTGACACTTTTTTAGTCACTTTCCTTATCTCAACATTGATTCAGATCACATTTCAGACTCTGTTCATTAGTGATTTTGCTTGGTTTTAACCATAGTTCTTTCCTGTCACATTTATAATTGTATAAACTGACTTTGATCATTTCATGGATGGTGGTGGTGGAGTTGTTAGAAGATCAGGCTGAGCGATCAAAAGCTCAAGTCTCAATCACAGACAGACAGCTATAGTGGTTCCTATCAGATTAGAGGTAGATGGTCACATTGGGAGGGGGAGACAGGTCATAGACTATCTAAAGCTTTTATGGTCTATAAAAGCAACAAACTCAGCTTAGTGAGTGTGCTCAAAGGTCATGGGAATGCTCATTGTTTATACGGACAAACGTGGGTTTAAAAGCATTAAATAATTTTTGTTAAACAGTCAAGACAAAAGCATTTGCAAATGTAAGCCACATTTTTTAAAATAATGTATGAATTTCATTGCATTTAATAACATTTCAAGTGGCATCTGTAAACAAATGATGCTAGGCTTTTTCTTAGAACTAAGTTCACTTTTTAGTGATATTTTGTTTTGGTCCTAAAGTCATATTCATATTTAGTGAATATGACAATGACAAATTCAAAAGTTTAGGGTCAGTAAAATGTTTTGAAAACTGCTATACATTTTTTAGGATTCTTTTATTAAGAGAAAGTTCAAAAGAACAGCATGTATTTGAAATAGAAAAAACTTTAACATTATAAATGTTGTTACTGTGACTTTTGATCAATTTAATTCAACATGGCTAAATAAGTGTCTTAATTCTTATTAAAAAAAAAAAAAAAAAAAAACTTTTAAATGGTATTCCGTTTCCTTCAAGTTCACACAGATGTCCTACAGGCAACCACAGATGTAGTTTGTCACATTAACTATGAACATGATCCACTAACATTTCATAACTAGAAAGTATCAGAATACTTATCATTTTCAACAGTATATCTATATACAGTATATATTGTTTTGTTATTAAAATCTAGCAAACTCTTTTTAAAAGTGCACTTGTGCTGTTCTTCTTTCAAATAAAAGCCACTTGATATCATATTTTGATACATTGCAAAGAAATTCATACATTATTAATTGTGGCTTATGTGTACTAATATATTCTGTGGCCACTCTGTGTTTTTCATGGCTGTTTGATGGTCATGCATTTTAATGAGCATGAATTTTCTATGAATTTCACTCCTGTACACATGCACACACATACATGTGTAGAAAAATGCTTTTTTCCAGAGAGCCTCAGGGCAGAATTCCCAGCAAAAGTTAACAGGCAAATTCCAAGTCCAGGCTGAATGAAATTCCCATGTCATGTCCTCTACTAGTCGTCCAACCATCCCCCTCCCTCTCCCTCTTTTCCAGACTCCCCCCCTCTCTCTCTCTCTCTCTCTCTCTCTCTCAATCTTACAGACCTCCCTCTTTCCCTTTCTTTCATACTCACTGCTCTCCAGAGTTCCATTCTGACTCGTCTGTGTCCATCAATGTGGTGAATATTTCTGCATCCTGCCTTCTCCGTGTCACATTCCAGCTTCCAGGGCACAGCGTCCTCTTGACATGGGTTATAAAGAGAAGCACAGCTCCAGTATGCATCCGCATACGGCGTTATGATCACCTTTTACCTCCAGTGACTTTTTTGAACTGTTTTGAATAGGCAAACAGACTCTCTAGGAGAATTTACCTTTCCTTTTTCTTCCTTCCTTCTTTGAGTTTTTTTTTTCTACTTGAATGCAATCTCACTTACACAGAAAGCTCACTTATAAACAGTGGATTACTCAAGTAAAACAGTGTTTTACGGCTTCAGCTCAGATGTGTGTGCATGGACAAGAGAAAGGACAGAATACATTGGGTGAGTTTGAGTGCAACTGAATGATGATCATGTTGTCATTATGATTGTGCATTAACAGTTACTCATTAAACTAAATGAAATGAGTTACACTTATTAAATAAATATATATTATTATATATTTTTATATATAATATTATATTATTATATTATATAATATATAATTTTAATACAAATATTATATGATATATATTTTATATTAAAGGCTGCTTCATAGGTCCTTTACTGCCCAGTTGCTTTAAAGTTTTTAATAACCCAGTTTTCACAAGTGGAATGTCAATTGTGTATTGACTACAACTGTAATATTAATATATATGACTATAAAAAAGTGAGGTTCTCCTCAACACAATTCAATGCATTTGATTGCATTTCTCCTGTCTCTTGCCATATATACAGACATGATATAAATCTAGTAATCTACCGTATTAATATTTTCCATAATGTGGCTGAGAGCTCACTAGGAAGATGATTTATGGAAGATGTAATTGCAAAACACACCAATGTCCTAACTGCAGATGTTTTTTTTTTTTTTGGGATAAAATAGTCATCTCAATTGCAAAGTGCCAGATTATCTATATTCATAGGTGTATATTAGACTGAAAGTCAGTTCATCAGTCTCAGGTGGGGGGTTTGTGAGTGAGCGCCATGTTGAAGTTGAAAGGGAACACCTTTGCTCTGTGTTAAATAAAAGCTGTTGAATGACTCTCAGGGGTTCTGGACTCTGTTTGAACAACAGCACGCTTGCAGGATTTCCTTTAACACTTCACATTAGATTGATGTCTTTCTCTGCTCGGGAGGGCCGAACAGGGTCAACATTGTCCCTCGAGCACAACCAGACACCCACTGAGACTGAAACAAAACCTAAATGTTGATTATGGCTGTTTGTAGACACTTTGTAGAATTACCTAAACAATTAAAGCAAGTTTAGGGTATTTGTTTTTGTGGATTTTTTATTAACACTTTACAATAAGGTTCAGCTCAGTACCATTAGTTAACACATAATGTATCACGCATTAACAATAAACAGCATCACTTATTAATGTAGGCTAATGTACAAACATAATATTGTTGATTGTTAATTCATGAGTGTTCATAGTACATTAGCCAGTGCTAATTTCTACACCGTGAAATGTTAAAGTGTCCCTATTATGGGTAATGAAAGTTCATATTTTGGTTTTGGGAGTCCCCAACAACAGGTTGAGATGCATGCAAGGTCAAAAAACACTTTCATTGTCTTATAATATGCATTTAAAAAAAAATAACAAACTAAATTAAACTGCTGTAGTAAAAGTAATTTAATTTTCAGCTACTAAGTTAACATACTGAATCTAATTGCAAAATGTTGATACTCTTAATTAGTATTTAGACAGAAATTGCATGTAAACATGTAAACACACACAACTGCAGGCCCAGATACCTCAATCAGGATGTTAAGCATAATAATTTTATCTAACAGGAGATTCTCTGTGCTGGTCACCGGAGTCAATGGAGAGGAAGTCATTCCTCTTATTCTATACCTCTATCCTCAAAAACACAAAGACCTCAATGTCTAAACCATAATTGAACTATTAGCTAATAGCTACCTAGCCAATTGTTAGAATGTGATGTCCTTGTGGCCACGGACCTCATGACTAGAAACAATACTTTCACTCACCTTTAGAGTCTGCCTGCTGTCGCCTGCTCTGGTTCTCGAGGGTCTCCAATAGAAGGACCAGATGTTGGCAGGACTTCCTGCCACTCTAGTGGTCTCAGACAGCTGCTTTGTGTCAGCTCCTGTCCCGATCCTAGAGCAGTAACCGTGGGGCCAGTGGCCCTGAACACACACTAGGCGGCATTGTTCAGTGAAACAGGCTGGACACACAGGATTCAAACAGGTCTGAGTTGAAGTAAGTGTAGTGACCAGTGACTTAAAACTGAATGGTCATGTTGTTCCAGACCTGTATGACTTTCGTTCTCCTGTAGAAACACAAATGGAGATATTTAGTAGAATGTTCTTACTGCTCTTTTGTTCATTGAAAAAAATACAGTAAATATAGGGCCCGTCCAGGTCCATAAAAGATAAAAAGCACTGTATAATTCCTATAAGAGTATTTGAAAAGTAGTTTGTGTCACAATGAATAACATTTTATCACCAGCATGTTTTTAGATATTTCTTGTTGTCTGTTTATTATGCTCCCTGTTTCATGCTTTTTTTTCATGTTTTAGCTGTCCTCCCAACTTAATTTAATCTTTTCCCTGTTGGTTTGGCTGGTTGAAGTCACTATGCACCATTATAATGTAATTCAACAAAGTGGGAAAAGCCTTCTGTCAGTATGAATCAGGCTCAATAATACACAAGACTCTGGCAGCGAGCATGTGGTATTTTATGAGCTCCTATGCCATTAAACTCAAGGATTTGCCTATGTTTTGTATGAGATATGTGTTTTATGCCGCACTATGGCCGGCCTATCGCATGCCTTCATGATTCAGCATACAGCAGCTCTGCCAATGGGCTGCAGTTAAGCAATTAAAAAGAAAACAAGAACAAGTGGCTATGGGTAAAACGAAAAACGCAAGGAACAAACTAAAAACAATGGGCCTTTGTGTTATCTATTTTAAGGTTTACGTCATTTTAAAACAAGCCTGCCTCAAAAATTCAATGCATTGCTTATCATTTTCAAATGTTTCAAAAGTCTTAAGGTCTTTGCACATTGAGTCCGAAATTCTCGTCCGAAGTTTTTGCACGTTAAAAAATAAATACGACCACACGTTGTGCACGTTTACACACTGCCTCAGAAACTTTCGTCCGTCATAATAAAAAAAAAAAAATCGTATCAGGTTCGATTTTCTGCATTTTCGTATCTGTAGCAAGCATTTTGATAGGAAAAGATGACGAATATGAAAAATTTCGGACTCAGTGTGCAAGGACCTTTACTCTATGACAATAAAAAAACATTCACATGCACAGAATGTGTTTTTGCATTCCACTGCACAACCTTCCATTGTTTTATGTAAACATGGACTAAATACGCGTAAGGCAAACTAAACTTCTTAAAAAAAGCATCTCTAGATTTGAAGAATGTACTGGTCGGAGGTGCAACATGTCTACTACACCACAAAACAACTACACTATGCATCAAAGCGAATGTTCAAATGTGTTGTTGAAATCAGCACACATGCAAAGAGCACCTCAGAAACAGAAAAATACAACTCTTTACTGTTGACAACTTGATGCATTGCGAAGAGACACATCTAGTGTAGACAGACAGCTTTGTTGATCATAATGGGTTTTATTTGCTTTTGACAGGACATGCAGCTTGCGTCTGGTGTGAAGTCAGCACGCCGCATTACAATTCTGAAGGCATTTCATAGCTTCAGACCACATTAATTATAGTAGTTAAAATTGTTCAAAACTTCACTTAATTATGTGTTCTGTGAAAGAAATTCATATGGGTTTGGAAGACGTGATGCGAGTAAATAATAAAATAATTTTAATTTTATAGACACTAACCCTTAATAAGTCTTTCATGAGCTTGTGTGGTGAACAAGTTCAGCATAATAAGACCCCAAATGCTTTTAACAGTCCTGTGGCAGTCAGGAAGTCTAATCTGCATTAGAAACTGATCATAGTTTCTGTTCAAGCTTGATCTTGCATAAATATGGTAATACTTAGCATCTGTCCACACAGACAGTTTCTTTCCTAGTGAAACAGATTGGTTAATGTCTGATGTTAACAGAGCTGACTCTTTGACCTATAATTATGAAGAAGCTAATTGTTTAATTCTGAGCCAGGTGTACGTCGCCTCTAGCAGATCAACTGTGCAGGCAACAGTTCAGCTGTTCGCCACTAACCACAATGGCTTCCTTTTCTTTCAGAACTGAAGATTATTTTACACGCAGTGTAGCAAGTGACTTCAGCTAGTTGTTTTAATTTGTTGGGGTTCTCTAGAAGGTTAACCAATATTTTTTGGGAGGCAACTAACACAAATGCAGAGTATATGATTTTTCTAAGATGGAAATAAAATTGCAAATGAAATAAATGATCAAGTGTCCTTCATAATCGTCAAATAGGCCTCTCAGGTACCTGATCAAAGACGATACTGTGTACCATGTGTGCTATGATGGTAAGAGGACTGGCTGAATGTTTGTTTGTTTATCCTGTGGGGTCTGCTCTGAATGTGTGTGCATGCGCTTCAATGTTCGTGTGATCTGTCAGTAAGAACATAATCTGGCCTCCAGCTTACTTACGTGGTAAAGCTATAGGTCTGTGTTCTCAGAGACAGGACTTTTGTGAAGGACAGTGGAATGGTATGAAGCTTACAAGGTATACATTATTACTTTAGTATAGAGCCCTGCACATGACATGCAGACAAAAATATATTTATTGTGGCCACAAATTTAGAATTTATTCCCTCGTATTATGAATTCACTTCCTACCTTTAGTTAAATCATGGCCACAGATGAAGAATTCATCAGACAATTTATTAATTGGTTCTCTAGATCTTTTTAGTAAATGTAGCCACGTTGTACTAATTTCTTCCCTCATTTTGATTTCATTAAAACGAGGGAACAAATTAGTACAACTTAGCAATGATTTACTAAAACAAGGGAACGACTTGGGAAAGTATGATTTAAAGTGAGGGAACGAATTAATAAATTGTAAGATGAATTCTTAATTCATTGCCCAATGTGGTCACGTTTTAATAAAACGATGGAAATTAGTTAGTATAATGTTGTCATGATTTACTAAAACTAAGAAACTAATGAATACAATGTGGCCACGATTTAATAAAATGATGGTAACTAATTAGTAACAAGGCCACGATTTAATAAAACAAGGGAGTGAATCAGTACAACTTGGCCACAATTTACTAAAACGATGGAAACTAATTAGTATAACATGGCCACGATTTACTAAAATGAGGGAACAAACTAGTACAATGTGGCCACGATTTAAAGGGGTCATATGATGCGATTTAAATTTTTCCTTTCTCTTTGAAGTGTTACAAGCTCTTGGTGCATAAAGAAGATCTGTAAAGTTGCAAAGACTAAAGTCTCAAATCCAAAGAGATATTCTTTATAAAAATTAAGAGTCAGCCACGCCTACCTAAAACAGCTCGTTCTAACACGCCCCCACATACCTACGTCACGAT